TTCTCTCACCCTCCCGCGCTTCTGACTGTACCCAGTGCTTGTGTAAATAAATAAATAAACAAATAAATAAAGGCAGTGCTGAGGATTTTTGTTTAGAAGTTCTCAGACCAGGGAATGAGTTTTGATTTGCATTTGAATCTGGCTTTGGAAAAGGGGTTCGGAGGCAGAGTGGCCAGGGAGCAGACCACGGTGGTATAGTAATCAGAAAAGAAATGCCCGGGTCTTTGGACCAGGGAGGTTGGTGTGGGGGTTCTGAGAAAGCTGGACTTAGAGAGGAGTCTGGAATGGCTCCCAGGTTTCAGATTTGAATGCGGACTGGGTGGTGGGTGCCACGTCCTGCTGTGGAGCCACAGGAGGAAGAGGGGGCTGTCTGAGCGTGCAGAGTTTGAGTTCTTTTGGGCACATCCAAGTGTTCAATGGATAGTGGGATTTAAGGACACAAAACTCAGGAATATGTCTGGTCTATCGATAAAAGTCTGGGATTTGTTGACCTAAGGATGATGCATGCAGAGGTCAAGTGAGAGAACTAGGCCAGCCGAGATGAACAAGATCAGTTGCAGCTCAACTAGGGCTGATTGTTGTCATGGGGGAACCAGGCCGGGTGTTGGTATAGCTTCCAATTAAGAAAATAAAGGGAGCTGGCTCAGCACGGTTCTTTCACTGATCAAATGGAAGCAATAGTGGTGTATACACCTCATGCCGTCGCTTGGGGATTAAATGGTTAAAACTTTATAACGCACATAGGACAGTATGTTCCTTATATAGATGCTTGTTATATAATCAATAAGTGATTAAGTAGATGAGTAAATGCTGTTGCGAAGGGAAACTACTAGAGTGTAGGCTGGAGTCCCCAGAGCACCCCCCTCAAAGTACTGCAGAGTAGATAGAGGAGGGGCCTGCCTGGGTGGGGGGTGTCCCTGGAGATAAGGGGTGTTTCTAGAAGAGGTTAGTCAGCAGTGTCACCTGGGGAGAGAGGTCAGGTGATAGAAAGACCCAAGTGCTCTGGCTGTAAAACCTCATTTAATCTGCATAGAACCCCTGCAAGGTGGGCATTGTTTTGTTGATGGGGAAGCCCAAGGATGCCTGAGGGCAGCACCTCACTCCTGCTGCTCACAGTGGGGCCAACCTGGATGGATCAGATTCCAGAGCCCGGGATCCTTTCTTCTACGACTCGGGGAGGAGTCAGCTAAGGATTTTAACAAGATTTGTGAAGTGCAGTAGGGCCAGCTTTCCTTGGCCTGTAAGTAGCAGATAGAGTTTTCTCTCTGCACTTCTGAAATATCCTATACGTTCTCGTTCCTTTTTGAGATAGACAGTCTGGGTTTTATGCCATTGTCAGGGATGTCTTCTAGATCATCACATGTAAGTGTAGAACTTTGCTTTTCCCCCAATTTGTTTTTTTAGGTAAACAGGCCCAGTAACTTCAGCCATCTCCAAAGGATCACTTGCGTCAAGGTTTCTGAATTTGGCTATCAGCCATGTCGAGTTGGTTCTTTTCTTGTACTCAGAGCAGTGAGTTGTTTAAGGAGAAAAGAATGGAAAGGTGCCAGGAAAAACTAGGACTATGTGATGTCGTTTGATAAGAATTGGGGACACAGTGACCCATCCCCAGAGTCCTAGGTGCCTACACATGTCACCTAGTCCCCAGTGAGCCAGGCTTTGTGCCTGTTTCCGTAACTGACACCTGGGAAAGTGTCACTGGAGTGGAGAAATAAACAATGAAAATCTGAAGCTCACCTGTTGAGAGAATAAATAGCAGGAAGTGAATATTTGGAAGAATGAAATTTGGATCCTCTGGGTGATAGTGTTGTTATAGAGCAACCCCGATATTAAACGGGTTCCTGGCTGTGGGTCCTCACCCGCGCGCTTTAAAGGGACTTATGAATACTCTACTACAGACACACGCAAAAGGGTTAATAAAAGGTTTATTTACAAGAGAAAAAGAAATAAGGAAAATGTACAACTCAGGGAGAAAATAGGGAAATAAAGTCTTTAATGCGTCCTACCCGATCCGACGACCTGGAAACCCCAAAGTCACTCTCAGAGCTAGACGGACGCCGCAAGCTGGCCGAGGGCCCCAAAATGGAGAGCGCCCCCAAAGCCCACGTGTCTGCCTTTTGTATCCACCTGGCTGCTTAACCCCACCCTCAGGTCCCAGCCACCTTCCCTTTGGTGGTGATGGGATTTGGAGTTCCCAGTGTCTTTGGCTTTGACCTGGGGTGGGGGTGGAGTCCACAAGGCCTGTATGGAATTTGCTTTGGGACTGCCTTTTCCCCCTAACAGTGTCAGCCTACAAAACAGCTCTCCAAAACACCATCCAGTTTTTGCTGTTTCGCTCATCAGCAATGATATTATCTCTGACTGAACTAAAGTGAAAACCTCTGCCAGGGTTATAAACCTTTGCTGGGGCACACATTACTCATGCCTTAATGTCAGGTTAATATTTAGCAGTACTGAGAATTTCAGAGGGAATAAGGACCCCAGGAAGAAAATGACTAACTTATTTTTTTTTTTTTCTGGGAAACTGGTGCTCAAAAGCTTAATGTCCACAGAGCAGTGGGTTTAATGTTTTCCCACATTTTTGTCACAGGCCCATTGGATGGGTTATAGCTGTCTGTGGCCCGCCCCTACTCCGATCCTCTTCCAGTGTACCTTTTTACAAAGAATAGTGCCAGCAATTGTGTGAGATCTGCAGTTTATAAATTTGGGAACCTTCTTCAAATGAGGAACAGAATAATGACTATTTAGAATGAGAAAAGGACTAGGTGGGACTTGTGTAAGAGAGGGGAACTGAAACATAATCTTGGGTAGCTTCATGTTAACTCAGGCCTGGAGCCACAGAGATCCTGTTCTACAAATGAGGTGTCTCTAGCTCTGTTGATCTTCCCTAGCTTGTTCTCTAACCAACTGCCTTCACTTCCTGCCATCCTGCTGGCTGCAGACCTCCCAGACAAATCCCACTTCACCCTCTTGTATTATCCCCATTCCTCTTCTTTAAGGCTCTATCACAGCTGTGGTTGAAATATTTTTGCATTATTTGATTGTCTATGCTGAAAAATCTAGGACACCTAGGGTCATGTCTGTTATTTTCTGCTCAGGGATAGTTCCAGGGCTTAGCTAAGGGCCTGCTCAGTAGTTAGAATTCAGATATTGATTGAATAAATGCATTTGATAAAAAGTAAATAAGAATGCTTTAAGAAAAAATGTGTGGGTTTTGTGTCACAAAGAAAAATTCCACTGGGAAAAGTCAGTTTAAGGTTATTTGGGTCAGCTGTGTTGATGCTAAGGTTGTTAACAGCAGCATCTGCTTTTGGATTTGAAAATATTGTTCAAGCTTCACCATTCAAATTCTCACTTAAAAGGGACTCAGTGGGGCCTCCCTGGTGGTGCAAGGGGTTAAGCACCACACTATGAAGCAATCCACAACCTCTGCAGCATGCGTTTGATCCCTGGCTGGGCAGGGAGAAACCCACATGGTGAAGCAGACCTCTCCTGTCTCGCCCGCTGCTCCCCTCAGCAGTGTATTTCGTCAGTTTGCCTGTTCTGTTCCCCACTCTGTCTCTGGTGAATCCTCTTACCCCCCGCATCTCTGGCCTGTACCCTGGCTCTTGTATGCATAAATAAATAAATCTTTAAAAATAAATAAATAAAAGGGAATCAGCAACAGCAATGTTCACCTGGCATTTAGCCTATGGAAACCTTTAAGACTCTGGAGTTGTCTCTAGAGATCCCCTTGTCACATATAGATACAAAAGACAGTTCAAACCAAAAATGTGATTTTGCAGGGTAGTTATCATTTGGGATCTAAGATTTTGTCTCCCTCAGTAGGTGAAATTTGGCTCCTTAACTCTAGTAGTTTGATTTACAGGTGCTTCTGCCCCCATGTGATAAATACACTTCTGCATAACCTTTGATTCAACAAGGGGTGAGCTGAGAGAAAAGTGGGGAGAGGAGCCACTGTCCCTTTGTAGAAGAGTAGCTTGTGCTTGGTAGAGGAGGAAGCCCAGCTAGAGGAACTGGCTGGGGTTTCAGTGGAGAACTGAGACCAAGACCCTTTGTTTTTCAGGGTCTTTGGTCTCCCCAAATGCCCCCAAATAGGACAAGTCAGACTCTGCCTCCATGCCTGGGTCAGGCTGTCCCACAAACAGTCCAATAAGTTCTTTCCAGTCTCACTCCCTGATGAAATCCCACCAGGGATTCAACTTCAAGGCCAAGTTCAGTTCAAGCTCTGGCTTTTCCTTCTTTGGCTATGCCCACCCATGTTAAATTTGGAGCACCAGCAGCCTTGCAGACAGAGGAATCCTGTCTCATGATGTTGAACTGTGCCCTGCCTTGCATAATTAAGTAATCTCATGTCTCATGTGTCCCCAGCTATTCTGTAGATGTTCAAAGCCAGGGAACATGCTGTACTTCTTCAGTGTCTCAACATTATCACCCCATGTTTGACTCATTTGGGCTCAATTCTTCATTCTTTCATTCTGTGAGTGGCTCACTAAGTACCAGATGCCGTGTCAGAGGCAAGGCAAACAGAAGTGAAGGCTGAGGTCTTTCTCACAAGAATCTCCCAGTCTGGTGGAAGAGTCTACATGACTGAGGGCTTCATTGATGATTTTCTCCCTGTTTGGAGTGGCTTTTAAGGATGTGGGCATGGGGGAGATGACAGATGTTTCCAGCATCTCCTGAGTCCTACCATTCCTTCTGGCTTCATTCGTTCAATTCGAGCAGATTCTTTAAACTTTGGAAACATGGCTCATAACATTGACCACAAGTATAGCATTCTGAATTCAAACACAAAGTATGGGAATCCATCAATGCAGTTCCTGAGAGTTCATTTCTGTATGACATGGCTATGCTGAATAGATGCTCTGAGAGTCATGCTGATTTTGTATTTGGTGATGGCTATTTTTCTGATGGAAAGTCATTAACGGGCAAAACTTTTGTTAAACATTATGATAATGTAACAAATGTAACCAAGCATTTTGCTTTTTTTGTGTGTTTAGGAACTTATACAGTTCTGGCTTGCAAAGGGCGTGGATGGTTTTAGTTTCGATGCTGTTAAATTTCTTCTAGAAGCACAACATCTGAGAGACGAGATCCAAGTGAATAAGAACCAACCCCCGGTAAAGTTTGTTTTAAACAGGCATTTTTTCATTTTCTGAAAATGTCATCAGAGTGCTTTCTTCTTAAGCCTAAAATACCAGTTACCAGAGGTTAGCTCTGGCCTATTCCAGGGAGTAATTTGAATAATTTTTGGTAGGAAAAACAGGAGTTTCAAATACATACATCAGATGTTTCCTTCCATTGGTTCCCTTTGGAGCAAAGGCTTCAGAGTGGTTTCGGACTCCATCATGGGCCACAGCTACTCACTATGATTTTGTCACCTCACTCAAGCTGAAATGAGGAGGCATAACCCCCTCTGGTGCTTTTGTAGTAATGAAGGCCACATTGGTGGAAGGGCAGGGAACAAACGCTAGTAGGTGTCTGCTGAAAGCTCTGTGCTGTTTGCTTAGGATATTTCATTTAACTCTCTCCGCCTCTTATGAGAGAGGTATCATGTTCCCCATTTAGCAAATCTTGGAAAAGTTATCGGGGGACAGAAGTAAACAGAATGACAAACCAAGCCTATCTCTTTACAAAGTCCAGCTCTCTGTAGTTCCACACCAAGGTCCTCAACCTTCCCCCTCATCACATGTGATAGTAACCAATGCCACTCTCTTCAGCTGGTTGACACTCTTTTCAATGGCCGAGGAGACAGCGGTGCTAAATGTGCTCACAAGAATGGATTTGTATAATTTTCACAATAAAATGTCATAAATAAATGAATTATAGTGACGCTCAGCAACATGAATCTTAGCAGTGTGATCTAAAATTATATATAATTGTATATATCAGGCTGCCTTGTAGATAAAGGTAAGCACATTAAGTAAATTCATATGGTTAGTTTATTTCCAAACTTCTAACATTTGTCCTGAGGAATATAGATTTATGGGTACTTATAGCTTCATTGAAGTAAATCTGTTAACTAAGTGTAGAGAAGTTGCCCACACACGGGCTAATTGTGACAGCATGTCATGTACCAAAGGTTATGATTAGTCTTTTTTTTTCTTTTGCAAATGCTTTCCAATAAAAGAGAAAACAAAGGGGAAACATGGCAATGCATTATTCACAGTTGTCCCAAAAAGAAACACTTAATCCTTGGAGAGGAAACCTCAAAATAACCTTACTAATTATAATGAGATGTCAGAAGATGAGGCATATGTTTCCAGTCCTGAGAAATGATCAGAATAATGGGGTTTGTGCGCTACCCAAGGCAAAGTTCACAAATATGTGGTTTCAGGGAGAGACTTAAGATTTAATAGAAGTCATCTGAGCTAGCAAGGGATGCTCCCTTATTAAAAAAAAAAAAGGGGGGGGGTTCACTGAATGGGTGGCAGCTCACATTTGAACTCTCCTAACCATGACTTACAACCATGGCTTATGTTAGACAGTCTTTGATTTTGGGGTCTAGATGACCATATGTTTAGGAAGTCACAGAGTAAGCATCAGGAAAAAATTACCAAAAACCCTGGGAAAGTTTAACCGTAAGAATAAAAGATAGAGCTGT